TTTAGTTTAGAATTGTTAAACGGGAAGGCAGGCGAGGAGGCGGCTTCAGGATCGTTCTCACCAAACAGATCGAAGTCGTGTTTTCTCGTGCTCGCATCCTGTGTCTTCCCGCACCACACTTGGTTAATGCCTCTTTGTCTTCGGCGAAGAAGAAGATCTATCTACGTAGCTAAGTCTTTTCGAATCCCCAAAAGCGTTGCCGTTTGAAGCGTCTTCACTGCTCTGTATCGATGGTATCATGTGGAAGGTTGCTCGCCCTCTTGTTCCAGCTATGGAGGGCCTCCGCGCGCGCGTGCGCTAGGTTCCCTTGTCAGGCTATGGCTGGGCTGGCGGGCGAGATGGTCGATGGGGGGCGCGGTTGCGCACGCAGCAGAACTGCCGATGCGGGCGCGCAAAAATTAGCGCTGGGTTGCGCTAACCGGCCGGCGCGATCGCGAAAAGGTCCTGACTCCGCCGTTGTACCTTCTTCTGGTCGGGGGAGTTTCGTTTCTAGTTTTCAATTTCAAGCAAAAGAAAACGTTGACGGGTTTTCAAGCAAGAGAACCTTACTTTGACATTNTTCGTTTCTAGTTTTCAATTTCAAGCAAAAGAAAACGTTGACGGGTTTTCAAGCAAGAGAACCTTACTTTGACATTGACCCGGCTGCTGGACTTTGCAGGGTTAAGGCCACTGATGAGTTCTGCCATCAAAATGCCGAAGCTGTACACATCGCTCCTCTTTGTCAGCTTTTTCTTTTCAAAGTAGTCAGGATCAAGATAGCCTGCCAGGTCGTTCACGACACAGTGAATAACAATACAAGATACACAACAATTATAATATTATGGTTGCATGGCCTGGTCCGGAAGAACGTCACAGTTGAAAGCCAAATAAACTTTAAAGCAAAAACAAGAAGAAGAAAAGGACGACGACAATGAGGAAGAAGGAGAAGAGGAAGACTAAGGAGAAGAAGATGGGGAAGAAGATGGGGAAGAAGATGGGGAAGAAGAAGAAGAAGAAGAAGAAGAAGAAGAAGAAGAAGAAGAAGAAGAAGAAGAAGAACAGGGAGAGGGAGAAGAGGAAGATGAAGAAGAAGAAGAAGACGACGACGAAGAAGAAGAAGAAGAAGAAGAAGAAGAAGAAGAAGAAGAAGAAGAAGAAGAAGAAGAAGAAGAGGAGGGGGAGGCGGCGGCGGAGGAGGAGGAGGACGAGAAGGAGAAGGAAAAAGAACAGAAGGAAGAGGAAGGAGGAGAAGAAGAAGAAGAAGAGGAGGAGGAGGAGGAGGAGGAGGAGGAGGAGGAGGAGGAGGAGGAAGACGAAGATGGCGACGACGATGACGACGACGAAGAAGAAGAAGAAGAAGAAGAAGAAGAAGAAGAAGAAGGGGAGGGGGAGGCGGCGGAGGAGGAGGAGGAGGACGAGAAGGAGAAGGAAAAAGAGCAGAAGGAAGAGGAAGGAGGAGAAGAAGAAGAAGAGGAGGAGGAGGAGGAGGAGGAGGAGGAGGAAGACGAAGACGACGACGACGAAGAAGAAGAAGAAGAAGAAGAAGAAGAAGAAGAAGAAGAAGAAGAAGAAGAAGAGGAAGAAGGGGAGGGGGAGGCGGCGGAGGAGGAGGAGGACGAGAAGGAGAAGGAAAAAGAGCAGAAGGAAGAGGAAGGAGGAGAAGAAGAAGAAGAAGAAGAGGAGGAGGAGGAGGAGGAGGAGGAGGAGGAGGAAGACGAAGAAGAAGAAGAAGAAGAAGAAGAAGAAGAAGAAGAAGAGGGGGAGGAGGAGGAGGAGTAACAGGAGAAGGAAAGAGAGCAGGAGGAAGAAGAGCAGCAGCAGCAGAAGAAGAAGAAGAAGAAGGAGGAGGAGGAGGAGGAGGGAAGAAGAAGAAGAAGAAGAAGAAGAAGAAGAAGAAGAAGAAGAAGAAAAGAAGAGAAGAGAAGAGAAGAGAAGAGAAGAGAAGAAGAGGAAGANAAGAAGAAGAAGAAAAGAAGAGAAGAGAAGAGAAGAGAAGAGAAGAGAAGAAGAGGAAGAAGAAGAAGAAGAAGAAGTAGAAGAAGAAGAAGAAGCAGAAGCAGAAGAAGCAGAAGAAGAAGAAGAAGAAGAAGAAGAGGCGTGTTACCTCTGGGTGTTTCCATCAATCAAAACACCTTGCCTTTGAAATCAAGGAATAAGGAATATTTCAAGATATACAAAGGACACTAGCACTTTCCTTATTGTATCTGGCATCAATTACAGCCACACTTGGATGCATCTGACCTCAATCAAGTCCAGAGCTCAGTCGAAGTCCTCGTATGAGCGTACGGTTACTATCTTTCCAGCGGTCATTGACAGCTCCGCAGTCCTGAAGCAGGTCCAGCTTGAAAGGAGGAGAAGAAGAGGACAAGAAGACTCAACTGTCATCCCCCCTCTATCTCGCCACCTCATCATCATCGTCAAATACTAATCAATTTAATGAATGAATGAACAAAGAATCGATGTCTGGTGAATCTCCCCTCACTGCTGTTGAGAAAGAACCTCCCATCATATCCTCTTCTTCCTCCTCTACATCCAGTATCACCGTTAACTCGTCAGGATCATCATCGGTCTCGCTACGCAAACAGGGTGTACAAAGGACAGCACACCAACTATTACTCTCCCCTCCCCTTCCACCTCCTTCCCTCACTCTCAGATGAAGTCTCTGTCCAGTCGGAGCAATAGAAGGGCCTTCTTGATGCAGCGCACCATAGCCAAAGGTAAGCCCTCATGTCAGTTCCCTCCTTCCTCTGCCTCCTCCTCCTCTTCGTCCTTCCTCCTCCTCGTCTTCGTCTACTGAAGTGAGCTACTTGCATCCATAGCCCAACCTGTCTTCTTCCTCCTCCCCTTCGACTCCCCACTCTCTCTGGACTCCCCACCTCCTGCGCTACTCGCCCCCAATTGATATGCTGGCTGGACGGCTAGGTTCAGTACCCCAGATCATCCTTCACCGGTGGCCCTAGCCCCTACCCGCCTTGCCTCCAAGCCTACCGATCATGGCACACTGTAATGTCACTGAGGACCAGACGTACCTAGCATCATACCAGTCCACATTCGCTCTAGTACCATCAACGAAACTACTGATAAGCCTACTGGACACAGGGCCTCCCCTGGTTGTACTGGGTCCCTGAAATTTACCGATGTCTAGTTTCCGTCTTTTTTGTCCGTACATTCATATGCCGGATCAAGTTTCAGTCCCCCTCCTCTAGGCTTCCAATTTGCAGACAAGTCCTCCTCATGGATCTCAATTCCAGTCTCGGTCCTAAGCACATCCTTTTTTTTTCCTTTCTTCCTTTTTGTTCAAGTAAGCACATCCTAGTCCAGACAGCATACAAAAAATCAAAATACCCCCATGACAGTAGACTTGCCTGTCTGATATAACCAACTCGCAGTCACGAGCACCGTACCTAGACTGACTGCTGACCCAAATTCATCCATAACAAGCCATTGTCGGTCAAGAACATTGGAAATTGCAGTCCAAACCCAGGTGATAATCGCAATCTGTCTTTTCCCGAATAGAACATACAGTAATTATCACTGTATGATCTGTATCTAGACTGGATGTTGACCCAAGTAACGCCTATAATGACTGTACGTTCTATTCGGGGGACGACAGTAGCACTCAGATTCTTTTTCAGACAGATCTCACTCTGTGCCATTTTACAGTGTTCGTCTCTTCTCCAGCACTTCCGAAGATCGCCATGTATTTCATGTCCCATTTGTCGCATTTCACACCCAAATACCTTTTTTTACTAAATTTTTAGTAAAATTTTACTTAATTTTTAGTAAAATTTTACTTAATTTTTTTACTAAATTGGTATTTACTATTTACTATTTAGTACTTAATCCTTCCATGAAATTTTACTTAATTTTTTTACTAAATTTGTATTTAGATAATTTAGTACTTAATCCTTCCATGACATTTAGTGTCAGAGACAAATACCACAGGGTTGGCGAAGTCATTATTCTTCATTCGTCTGTGTTTTCCTCAGAAACGAGGGGATGCGTGTCAATGAGTTGTATTCATTTTTGACTTGCCGCCGTTGCCGGTGGAAAACGAACCGGACTGTTGCTCCCAGAACAGAAGAAAAAGCTATTAAAAAATAAAAATAAAATAAAATAAAATAAAACAGGTGCACTGGTGAGGTTAGTGGGTGGTGAGTTCTCGTCTTTTACCTGCTGTGCCCTTAACAGCTGTTGTCTGTCCGCCGGTACCGAAGATCACGGAGGATTTCAAACCGTCTTTCCCGATTCCAAAATCTGCAATGAAAGCATTAAACTGATCATCCAACAAAATGTTGGATGACTTTATGTCCCTGTGAATTACTGAACGAGGGACCCCTCCCCCCCACCTTCCCCACCCCCCACCCTCCACCCTCCTTCCTTCCACTCCCATTTCCAGTGCCCCCAAAGAAGAAGAAAGAGAAGAAAAAAACAAACCAAACCAAACCATACCCACCGTACAACCCACCGTTGCATTTGGTCAGCTCATACGCGTTGTGGTCGGGGGGAAGACGGCAGGACCTTTTCGACTCAGCTGTGGACGCAATTGCGACCACATACATGCAGGGTTGGCCGCAATTGCAGTCAAATGCATCCCCAAAAGCCATAGTGTGATATACGCTCTCAACAATAAGCTGCAGGAATACTCGAGCATGCGCTTGGCTTGCATTGCCTTTTCGACTTCGACTGTGCTCTGGAGCACACACATATATGAGAGGAGAGATAGAGCAGCAGGTTCTTATCGAGTGTTTAGTACTGTTTACCAGAAAGCAAGAAATCCTATTAAAAAAAAAAAAAAAAAAAAAAACATCAATCCTATGTGCATTGTGCACTCATTTTGGAGATTGTATCAATGCACTGACATGCTCTCCATAGTCTTTGACTTTTATTCTTTTCTTTTCTTTTCTTTTTTTTCTTTTTTTTTTTTCGAAAGAGAGGGCGACAGAGTTGAGATATCATCATTGAACTGACTGGCCCCAGGTTGGCCTTGGGTCAAGTTTAAGGAGTTCTTGCCTGAAGAAGATATTTCTCAAACAAAAGCTGCTCCACGCATACCATGGACCTCGGGCAGTATTACATGTAATAGGCGGAGATAACGGACCACCTTGTGTCATAGATGTGCCTGAAAACATGGGAACCTACCTTGGATTCCATGTTTCCAAGTTACTTCCTGGAGTATGAGATGGGAACCTACCTTGGATTCCATGTGTCCAAGTTACTTCCTGGAGTGTGAAATGTTGACTTCCCCTTGGTCAGATCAGTGATTCCTCCTAATATGGATGGTAGGTAAGATGTAGACCGCATTCTTGAAGAGGCACCACTCAGGACAGGAAGAAGGGGAAGACCGCAGATGGAGTGCAAGTGTAGGCACTAGCACCAACGCTCGGAGGAGGATTGCTGAGACTGCCCCCAGAATAGTATCACACTATGAGCAGGCAGGCATGCAGAAGCTCTAGACTGGCCAGGAAAGTTGTAGCCTTTTTTCAAGTTTTTGGAGGACCTCGAAACTAGGCCGGGGGAGTGAAAGGATTTCGCCGCTGTCAGCCGGGTCCCAGTCCCAAGTCTCAGTCCCAAGTCTCAGGCTTGATCACATGTACCATATTCCCGAGTCCCAGGTAGTTTAGTGTCAGCAGGCTGATGTAGGCTGGGCTACCAGCCGTGCTGCCTGGTTACCCAAGGCTTGCATGGGACCTGCCTGGGATGACCAGACGGGCAACTGGGCCGGGGCGGGCCCGGGCCATATCTTCCCCCC